TTTTTTTTTTTTTTTACAATTTTGGTGTTATTACTGCTCTAAGTGGGTTACTCTATCTCTAAGGCATGTTTCAGAGTCACTATATACCAGTTAACGATTAATCAATTACTAAATTAGTTGAAGATTATTTCAATAATCGATTAATCTAATTAATTGTTTCAGCCCTAAAATCTATGCTGAGACTACATACTGAAGTTATACTCTATATCATCATCAAGATGGGGAGGAACAAAATATTTCTATTGATTTATTTATTTTGATCTGTGTGTGAGTTTATATATTTACTATGCAAATCTTTACCAAAAGATCAAAGCCCATTCCTTTTTAATATCTTTGTTTTTATGTATTTTTTCGTAGTCTCCCACTATTAACAACAAATGCTACCTAATATAGTAACTTTAACTTTCTTTATTGTACACTATTTGTTTTGTATCGCTCAATCAAATACAAAATAAATACCCAGGGATCAGCATGGGATTCTAATCAAAGTAAGAAGTAAATTTACCATCCTTATATACAATTTATATTTTGTTGCTACAAATAACTTAAATTCAGTATTAGTTTTCATGTTCATTCTGCTCTTCAGAGTAGATAATCCCTACATGCTTATATTAGCTGATAAGTTACTCAGACAGCTTGTAGAAAGTCATTTGTGATTTTAATAGAATAACCTTAATAGTGATTTTTTTTTTTGTTTTTCTGGTGAAACGAAATATTTTTAAACACATAATAATTCATTAGGATGTGGAAAAAAAGTGTAGGACCATTTTCCCCAGTGCCCTTCCATTGCTCTGCAACAGGTGGGGAGGCACAACACTTCCTTACGCTCTGCCTTAAACAGTCACAGAAGCTGCTGCCACTCTGGAACTCTTTCTGGCATCACATTAAAACAGCTCTAAACATTCGGGTTGGTACAATGGTGGATTTTATTTGTTTTGAAGCCATAGCTTTTTAAAACCTTCCTGTGACTAACTGGGCCATTTATAGTCGGAGGCTTGGCTATGATAAAAGAAAAACAATGCTGCAAAAAACAAAATCTGTTGCTGAAATACTCTTTTCTGTAGCTATTTGTGATTTTAGGATGGAAATGTCAGGAAACTCACAGTTATTCTTTAGACAGTGTCTCAACTACTCAACTGAAAGGTGTTACAAATAGCCCTGCGTTATAACTCCCCTACAGCACATTTTTTCCTATTTGTTTTGCTAATGTTTTACTACTTCCTAAGGTCATGACAGAGAATACAAGTCACCCTGTGTAATTTAGCAGAAGCTCCAAATATTATATTTCTGTGATTCGAAGCATTTCTGATCTACAGTGACAGTTTCCTTTTTTTGCAGGGTCTGGATTACAACTAATATATCTCCTTTATA